CTTCTGATTTGGCAAATCTGTTATTTGCTCTATTTAAAGAGCACATAATGGAAAAAATATGACTAATATTGACCACAAAAATGCAGACAAATCTTTGACCATAGACACGTCTCTTTCATGCACATGAATGTGCATGTGCTATACCAGATCAAACAGTATAAGATTTATAAAATGGTGTGAGTAAAATATAATATACCTATAATAGTCATCACAGAAGATTGGTTGGTTACTTTCATCAGTTACATATACTTTGGCTGTAGTGACATTCATTTCTCTTGGAGATCCTTCATCATATGCCACTACACTGAACTGTTAATATAATTTAGAAACGTTTTTAGATCAATGCATGTAAATATCAACATAAAAACTAGTAAGGAAAACAGACAGGTGGACTGATGGACCATAACTCTAACTATAATATTATTCACAGTTTTCCAGAATTTTGTGAAGGATGATTAACTAGGTTTGTGGAATTATCATAAAACTGACTTAAAATGATATTAAATAGAACACAGTTACTTGTAAAACTGAACAAAATAAACAAAAACAATTTTGTATTCATACATAATACTGGCACAACATATACAGTTATTTCACAGACTGTATACAAAATTTGTTTCCAATGACAGTGGTGTGAGTGTCATTAATAAACAGGAAATCATTTAGTGTCTTGTATGTCACACAAGTGCAGCACATTTTGGAATTAGAATTGACATAGACATAGACAAGTACAAGGTCAAGTAATGTAAGAGAGTATTCACTAATACAAAATGACCATTAGTTGGCCATTTTATATAGATAATTATGTGCATCAAGGTCCCATCAGTTGAAATATGCTCATATATTGCGATCAAGATGAAGTCCCGGATTATGGCACGGATACTTGATTTTGCTGCATTTTCAACTTTAAAATGGGGTGTCATTTGGCCATTTGGTATTCTATCATGAAATGCATGCATGCAACAGTTTCATGATGATAATTTACAAGTTTGAATGTGAACAGTCAAGACATATGTCAGAAATATGGCCCTGCTACTGCATTTGTTAATACAAAATTACTAGCAGTCAGCCATTTTGAATCAAATCTGTAAAACAAGCAGCCTGTCAGCTGAGATAGATCCGCTGTTAGCAATGCACATTTCAATTAGAGAACAGAAAATATCATTGGAAAATGAACAATATGTATGTATCAAAGCAATCAGACTTTTCAACACAAAATTTGAAAATATCACTTTTTACCGAAAATGACAAAAATATTCATCAAAATTAGATAATTGAAGATATCATCACAAAATGAACAAATCTGAGAGAGGTCTACCCAAGGTACATTATACACCAAGTATCAAAGCATTCCGGCTTGTAGTTTTCAAGAAGAAGTCGAAAAAGTAAAAAGTTGACACGGACGACGATGATAGCTCCGCTCGACAAAGTCAACAGCAGAGCTAAAAAATTAAGTGCATCATTGAGAACTCAATGTATGGAATTTTTAGCAATCAAATGACGATGGTCAATCCATCATTTTCATAATGGAACAAATCCATTTGCTTAATATGTATGATATGATGTGTGTGGGAAATCTGAATGAAACCCGCCCAGGCATGGCTTTGATACAATGTGGACAAACAGACTGATAGCAAGTGGATGCACAGAGGTGAACTTATAAGTCAACATTTGTGGATTCAGAAATCAATTAAATATTTCAGTACTTACCAAGTAATTTCCGTCCTTGTCTTCTAAAGGAGCAGCTAGCGTTACAACTCCAGTGGTAACATCGATGCTAAAGTATTTCAGTGGTTCAGTGTCATCATTAAAAGCTTCCAAACCATATTGAACTTTACTGTTCAATTCACTCTGTAATAGAGACAACATGGTTATTCATAGATATAATTAAATAGGAAATTCTGATTTCATGTATGAAAGTGAATATTAATTTATCGTACAGAGGTTTGGGCAGAATGTAATTATGTTAAATCTTGGGTTCATATCATGCAAACTGAGTTGAATCTTATCAATACATTCATATGACAAACAGATATACCGGTACACATGTTACATACTAGTAGACAAACATACATTTTTTAAACTTAGTAAAGCCACATTTTTTTCCACTACAAATTGTTATTTTATATGAATACATTGTAAATTTAAACATAGTTTTCCCACTGGGTACAAGTATTGAACAAATTTTTCAAATATATTAGAAAAAAAAAAAAAACTTTGTGAAAAAGTAACAAAAATTGACAATGACATTACCTGATCTGCATCTGTTGCCATGGCAGTGAATATCACCGTGCCGACAGTTGATGTAAAAGAGATACTCTCTGTATATGGCAAATTCTCAAACTGAGGCGTGTTATCGTTTATATCATCTACTGTGATAGTGACACTTATCTCATCGTTGTAGTCTGAATTCCACACGGCATATGAGTTGGTTGCTGATATGGTCAGTGTGTATACGGTATTTTCTTCAGCATCTAAGCTTGTAATACCATAGATCTGACCAGTCATCTCATCTACTCGGAACTTATCAATGTCTCCTGTATAAAGGAAATAACACATGCACACACTTAATATAGTATAATGAAAACAATGTACCTGGTATAAATAGTATTTAAAGCGGGAGGGTAGTCCGAATTGAGTCTGAAGTGATAACAACACATGCTAATAATGCAATGATTCATGGGCAGACGCATGTTTGTAAATAATGACACGCTATGGCCATCTGACGCATGCACAGATGACGACTCCCCCAATGAAAATTAATTTATGTTAATGAGCCAGCCAATAGTCTTCAGCTGAAACAAGACAATTGCATATACCATATTTAGAGACACACCTAAACAAAATATTACATTTATTATATGCTGAATCATTAAAATATGACTTCTTTTTTATGTTTTTTCTTTCATTTTAAAAATATTTTGGGAGACCCAGAAAGTTGTGAGCAGCTCAATTTGAACTGAAGCTCACATTGACCAGAATAAGTCCTTTATTAGTTTGTCCTAATAGAGTACAATATTTAGATGACGGTATGGTCTAACAACTGTTTGTACTTGGCATACAGTATTTTTATATATCATTTCTACTGACATGGCAAATCACACTAAAAATAAAATAAATTAAACACATTACATTCTACTAAATGCTGTTTATTGAAAATATTAGATATCTTTTAAAAATGCCATAAGTCAAACTTACCACTCTGAATTTGATATACTACTTGAGAGTTATTACCACTGTCTATATCAACAGCGTGCACTTTACCAATGTAAACTGAGGCTTCAATGTTTTCATCCACGTAAAACTCTGTCGTAGTCTTTGGAGTAAAAATACAGAAATAAGTTTTCACACATACATGTATTGAAGAATGAAGTTAGGCACTGGCTGCCTG